TCTCTCTCTCTCTCTCTCTCTCTCTCTCTCTCTCTCTCTCTCTCTCTCTCTCTCTCTCTCTCTTTCTCTCAGGAGAATGAATCTTCCTTTTTATCGAGGAAGATTCATTATCGTTGGAAAGGTCTATTTTCGCTTTGTTTTGTTTGTTTTTTTTGCAGAATGTTGTATGTTTTTTTTCTTTTCTTTTTTTTTCTTTTTTTTTCGGTGTGTCCTACCGGTTGTCTGAGGCTCGGCAATAAAGTCCGAGGCTCGGGAATGACCGGCCTACCGGTAGCCTGAGCCACGGGCCTTAACAACCGGTAGGTACTGGTGGTTTAACGGCCACGTCAATTTCTTCAAGCAGGGAGAGGTACTGGTGGTTTAAAGAAACAGACATAGGACCTCGTTAGACACTCCTTACGAGTTCCTTGAGCCACAAGGAAATTTCCTTGTGGCTCTTCAGGGAAATTTGCGGCTTCGTTCCACTCATCCTTGGGGACCTGCCCCGAGGATGTTTCCTTGTGGCATGCCCGCGACTGTTTTCATACGGAAATTAGTGGCTGCGGGGTCGGTGGTCCTTGGTCCACCGTCTTTTGTCCGTGTGGAGGCGGCGTGGTCCAGCGACGTGTGGCGGGAAATAGCATGAGGTGGGCGACGGGAAAAAAAATTAACCCGGGGGGCGTCGACGCTTGAAATTCGAATTTGACGGTTGTGACGACGATAACGACGTGCGGTTGGCGGCGCGAAGACGGCATACGGCTGAAACGGGCTCAGCAGCGATGTCACTTTCGTCCCCCAGCCGTTGCGAGTGCGCAGGCATCGTCGAGTGTGTCCATCGCCGTCGACTTTCGCACACGTCGACTGCGCGTTGAAACACATTTCCGTCAGCGGGACTTCATCCTTAGAAAAGGGGCCAGCTTTCGACGGACGTCTTCGGCTTCTTCGTTGGGTGTGGAAGGACGACACACACGGCAGCGGAGCGACGGGTCACTGTCTAGGTCGCGGCTATCATGGAGGGCGGCGGAGAGGTTGGACGTGCAGTGTTGACACCTCTTGAGCTGCAGGCCGTGGCGGCGGCCGTGTCTACCGTTGTTCTTCAATGTCAGCAGGTGAGGGCGCTGAGACGACTGAAGGAGCAGTTGCACGCGCATAGACGGAGGACATTGATGCAAACTCCAGACGATGGCCCCAACTACATGGGGACCTCGGACTGTTGTTCAGTTGTGCTACGCATTGGGTTGCGGAGTGATTCCTCAAGTGACGCCGAGGTGGTGGATGAAGCGCAGGACAGGGAGCAGGACAAGGAGCTGTCGGTTTGCCGTTGGTCAGTCGTCGATCCATCCTGTCGCCGTTCTTGGAAGATCTCCTTTTGCAAGTCGCGACAGGGAGCAGGCCGATGAAACACACGTGGAAGAAAACAACGATGAGAAGCAACACGACGACGAGGAGTAGCAGAGGAAGCCTATGCAGCAGGTCGGCCATGTAAGAGCCGTGGAAAGGGCAGCAGCTCCACAACAGTGGTCAACCGTCAGCAAAGAACTCTGTCGACAGAAGAAAAAGCGAGGGAAGATTTGTGCTCCGACGTGCAAGGCGTGACGACAACTGATGAAAACGATGGTTTTCCAAAATAAAATTGTCTTCGTCGAACGCAACGCCGGCGCTTACAAGCATTCAAATTTTCGACCGTTGTCGAAGCCCAGCACAGCAGACCGCATGACACCAGCCGGCGACGCCCGATTCGACGGACGGAGGCCGCACACGGACGGCGACCGTTTGGAGCCGTTGGGGTGCCACCCAGACAGTGGAGGGCAGGGATGTTCGTGCTCCCGTTCGGTGGACCGTGTCCGGACCACCCTCAAACTGAAACTGTGCGTCGAGTCCAATTGATGTGGCTCAATAGTTAGAGCACCGGTTAGAAATGCGCATTGTGGTATAAGGTTGTGGGTTCAAAACTCAATTGCAACCTTGCACATGGACACCGGCAGGGCGTTAGATTGACGCACGAGGGTTGTTCATGGTGTTGTATGTTGGTTTTGGGTTTCACATGGGTTGCTTGGGGGGGTCGGTCTTGGGTGTTCTATTGATCTCCCCAGTCTGGCATATCATCCGTTCGTTCCATTTCCGTTGGTCGTTCACATGGCAGAGTCGTTCGATCTCACAGGCATGATGAGGGTGCTTCGTGTTCGCCCGCCTATCCCAATGCTCTGTGCGATCGCAGTCGGCAAGGCCCGACTGCCTTTCGAGTGACTAGCCATGTCATCGTGCCAGGTGGCGTTTGGCTAGGCTGCAGATCTCGCCGCACATCGAGTGTAACACTGACGTGGCAGATTCTTCATCTGAATCTATTGGCGGGAGAGCAGGAAAATGTTTGGCGTGTAGCAGCGGAGCGACGATCGATACAAACGCGACGCAGCAGGAGAAATGGCAGGTATGACGGCGTCGAATGAACATCAGCAACAACGCGCGGTGGTATGGTTGTCAGAGCTCGAGGATGGGAGGCGTCGACTGCAAGAGATTGTGTGGGTGATGTCATCCCCAGCAAATCACCCATCTGCGGTCCGAGGGGGCGGGGCTCAGATGGCTGATTGGTTGGAGGATATGTCACAACAGATGCTGGACATCATCATCTGGATGATGGAGAAGGGGCCGGATCCTTGGCTTGATGACATCATCGATTGGGAGCAGGAGCGGGATATCACACGTAGATGCTACAATCTCTTCAGGGAAGGGCGAGCAATCGCCGAGAGCTATTACTGCGAGGACTGCGATGACGACGGCAACAGCCGTGCGGACAACAACAACAACAACAACAACAACAACAACAACAACAACAACAACAACAACATCAACATCAACAGCGACAACAACAACAACAACAACAACAACAACAACAACAACAACAACAACAACAACAACAATATTGACAGCAACAACGACATCAACGTCATGAACAACAACAACAACACCGACATCGTTGACGGCGACGTCAACAGCAACAACAACGAAGCCAATACGACGGCGGAAATTCCAAGAACGATGGGGACACTGGTCCAGAAAGCTGCGTTTTCGACTGCGGCAACAACAACAATTGAGACACCAACAACAGGAATAACAACAACGACAATGACAATGGCGCCTGCATTGCTGGTGGTGATAACGACAGCAGTGACATCAGCTGCAACAACAGCAAAAACATCTCAGGGGGAGAGGACCGGGGATCTGAAGAAGCCGGGGAGGAAGGGATTAGTGGTGAAAAAACGTCATATCGTCTCCCCCCCCTGTTCTTTTGATGTCGAATCGCTCCCTGATGATTGGCCGCTGGTGGGAATAGGATAGGAGATGCCCCCTCTGTTCATTGAAACCATCAGCCCCTCGATCTCAATCTACATGGAATGACAATCTGTTCCTTTGGTGGCAGGTAGGCTGTTTAACTGACATTTCGTTAAAACTCACATTTTTTTCTAGATTCGCGAAAGTGGACTTAGTCAAAATTTCATTGCTCATCGGGTGAGAAAGTGGTTATCTCACTTTGTCCATCTGATGTACCTCAACGTAAAGTATTGTTAACATACATCCGATGGTCAGATCATCGGGAGTCGCCACGACACCCGATGATCTGATCATCTGACGTCATGGGGACAAAAAAACACAAAAAAATGTTGTTTTTTTGTACGCTCAATTTCGTGAATTTAGCAAAAAATGTCAGTTTTAACGAAATGTCAGTTGTTTAGGGTTTTCAAGTGTGTCATCTGTTCTCCGGAGTGTTTTGATGACTGATTGTGAGGGAGGTTGATGAGAATGGTTTTGTTAGGGTTAGGGTCGTTTTGGGAGCAGGAGGTCAATCCTTCCCGGTCATTGGGAAGTAATCAATGCCACTGGTATCTATAGTAACATGGTGATACATCACATCGGATCAGATTCCCACATCACACACATCAACATCACTGCTACGATTTCGTCTTCAGGACTGATTGATATGTTGATAGGGTAGGGCTTCATGCCTCAGTTTGAATTGACATATAGTACATACATCACACATACATCAGACGTAGGCAGTATTGGATGCTGAGTGGGAGATAATCACTCATCGCTACATAGGGATGCTGGACCCGTTTTCCAGCTGACACTCGTCACATCATATCATTCATTGTATTGGGACGCTGGACCCGTTTTCCAGTAGGTGCAGCTCCCCACCAATAGATGGAGCCTTCGACGCAGGGGCCTACTTACCGGGGATGCTCTTATCACCTCGTTAAGTAGGTTTCCCGTACACG